CCAGAGCTCTGTGTCATCATGCAGAGCTGTCCCGTCCCAGTTGCCATTGTCAGTAGTTGACTAAAGGGAGCTCATCCTTCTGCAAACAAACCAGAGAGGGGCGGTTTGCTTTGCCTCCCTGCAGCACAGGGCTGGGCAGGCAGGTGCTCAACTTCTTAAGATGTGTTTTTCAGGGTTTTCTGTGGAGTGTTTTATAGAACAGCTCATAGTCTCTGTGTCCTTTCAGCTCCCATAGGCTGCTAATCTTCGATTCTTACTGTTCGTTCTGTGGTGACGCTGTAACTGAAGGATTTACCCTGGAAGTGTGTTAGATAGGTAGTCCTCCTCCCTGCCCCCTGCTTCTCTTAACTAGGCCAAGAAAATCCAGAAAGCCAAAAGCATAGTAAAAAACTCATCTGCAGGCATATAACCATCTGAGACAGAAATTGGAAATGTGCTCAGTTGTCCTTTTAACCTCTGGCAAAGTCTAGTAAAAATCCATTGCAGTGCCCAAGTTGGAGTTGAGAGTAGGACAGAATGGGGAAAGTGGGTGGAGAGGATCTGGATGCTGCAGGTATGTGTATGGTCATGCATTTTCAAAGCCTTTGTAAGCACAGTGGAACTCTTCTGTAGTTTTCATCTGTCAGAAACTCACACTGAGGTGGAGTTATGTCCTCATGCTTGGTGTTCTGCCTCTTACTTGTGCTTCTTTAGAGGTCACCAGGAAATGACAGCTGGTATGATCTGTTGCTATGTTCCTGAAAGTCACTGCTTTAGCTCTGTGGGACTGTTGGTCCTTTGCTGTATGAGTGGGTCCTGCTCTCACTGGTACATTCCTCAGCAGTATGAGGCTCTTTATGAATAGCTGGGATTTATTTACCCTAGTGAGCAGTGATCAGAAACTGGCACTTCTGTGCAAAGCAATTAACGTGGGACAGGAAATAGCTCTCTAACTACATTTTATTCAAGTTCAAGAAATAGTTTATTTTGGAAGACACAGTGGGCTGTGCTGGAGAAAGTTTATTGGAATTAATTAATTATTCTTTTCTCTTCGAGCCAGATATAAGCAGAAAAAGGAACTGGAGAACAAGTTGGCCTCTCTGAGAACCTTTGTGGAGAGCGGGCAGGCAGATGAGGAGCAAAAACGGGAGCTGTATTTACTGCAGGCCCGTAAATGGGTCAACATCAGCTTTGAGGAAATTGAGAGCATCGACCAGGAAATGGTCATCTTGAAGAGCAGGGATACAATGAAGCAGGTATGAAGTCTCTCTTGATCTGCAGGTCCTGTGAACTCTGCATAGTGAGATCTCATGATAAAAGCTGTTGTGGGTAAATGAACCATGGAGGAATTCATCAGAGTTTCCTAAATCTTGTTCTTTGGATTCTAGATCAGAGTCTTAGCTCGTGCACAGCATAAATGGATGGGGCTTGGTTTAATTCTGAATGGCCAGTGGTGCTGCCACATATCTTAGACAGTCATGGGTTGTTAAATGCTGGAGCACTGAATATCAGAGTGTAGCTGCTCTGCACACAGAGGCTTTTTTCCACTTAGCTGGGTTGTGCCAGACCTTTAACTCTAAAGAAGTAAATACATTTTTTAATTAAAACAAGACCTTCGTGGCTCTTATTTTTTTCAAGACTGCACTTCTGAGCCTACAGAAAATCCTGATGTTAGAGTAAAACATTCCATTCCGAGTGAGGAAAGCTGCTTAGGGACCTGCAAATCATGTGTAGGACAGTTTCTCCAGACTTCATGCTACTCACCTCAAATGTCTGTCTAGAATTAAAAAATCTGAGTGTACCATAGTCCAGCTTTGGCACAGCTGGTTTGTGCAATTCTGTATTGCAGAGCTCTGCTGTTCTGTAGTGCCCTGGGTGATATCTTCATGAATGATGAGCTTGATTGGCTTCATAATGTACTGCGTTTGATCCATGGAAAAAATAAGCTATATTTCATGCTTTGATCTGAGCTGATCTGGTTTAGCTCTGTTGACTTTCTGCTTTGATCAGAGTGAGTATAATAAAGGCACAAAGCGGAGTGATTTGTGGAAGCTCACAGATGGAGTTCATGATTTAAACTGGATTAAGAGCTGAATTGTCTGACTTGGGATGTTGCACTGACAGCAGAGGCATTTATTTTCTACAAGACCCTTAGTAACTTGCTTGGGGTGGGAGGTAAAGAAGGGAACTCTTATCTACATGACTGTCTTATGACTCTTGTTGGCAATTTCAGTCCTCAGCACCGCCACACGGTCCTTCTCGGCAAGTCAGGACTCCATTGAAACCTTTCATTCTTACCCGGGATGCAGCTCAGGCTAAGTATGTTGGTTTTTGACTATTTAAACACAGTGTGATGCAGTGTTGTGTCTTCATGGTGAGTCTAAGACACTTTTCCAAATGCAGGAGAGCAGTCATTGTCTTCAGGTAGCGTGTCACACCGAGATTGCATCTGTTGTATGGTGAGGGATGGGGGAACTTCTGATACGTTTCTTCCAGTCTCTAACTTCTTTTGTTGTCAGCATATTTCAGTGTCTCAGCTGTCAGTACAAGCTGGGGTGCAGAGCAGTTCCATGCACTGATGTTGGTTCAGTCGTGCAGAACGTTCCTTGACCATCTCTCTCTTCCTGTAGAGTGTTTGGTGCTGGATATCCTGGCCTGCCAACTATGACTGTAAACGACTGGTATGATCAGAAGAGAAGGGAAGAAGCAGCGCGTGGTCAGACTGCACCTCAGAGGCCACCAAGTAAGGCAGAATGGATCCAAAATGGGAATAGAGAACTTGGTAGCTCTCTTGAGGGGAAGGGCGAATGGGAATGTATTCAGGATGTGAAACACCCGCTAGCTTTCTCCATTGGGTTTGAGGATAAATGGTTGCTGGGCTGCTGTGTGGCAATTCCTGCTTTCTGTCTGGACCTCACTCTTGTTCTCGGCCTTTAGCAGACACAAATGACGAGGAGTCGCAGAAGGAGCAGCAGGAGAAAATAAAGGAGGAGGATGATGAGGAAGCTCTTCAAAAAGCTCGGGACTGGGATGACTGGAAAGATACACACCCAAGAGGCTACGGCAACCGGCAGAACATGGGCTGATGCTCCAGCAGCAGAGAGAGCAGGGCCTGGAAATCCTGTAAGAGTTGCCTGTGTCTCGCAGATGTAAGAATAAATGCACTGTACATATGCAGAGGTATCCTTGGCTTCTCTGCGAGTCACTGGAATCAGAGGAGTGAGCGTGACAGTTTGCTTTGGTTTACATGAAACGTCAGGCTGACAGCGTGCTTGTCCTGTGCAGTGACACCGGGGGCTCCTGGCAGCGGGCGCTGTGATGGGTCAGGCTGCCTCTGCCCTCCCAGTCAGAGGAAGTCCTTGAAAGAAAAGTACCTGAGTTTGGAAACCGCTCTTTGTATTGTTGGTGGATGTATTTATTTTTTCCTCTATATTTTAAACAAAATAAAATCTCTCGTGTTGCCTAGTTCTCCTTGTGAAAATCCATTGCTTTTCATCCTGGTCTCTTCCAGGGCTTGTGTCAGCTGGACAGTTATTTTAGCCAGGGCTACTGTTGGCCCTTTCCACTGCCTCATTGCTCTGTTCCTCCCCGGGTGGGAGGTTTTTTGTGGGTTTTTTTGTATGTTAAGTAGATCAGGTGTTCTGAGGGCAACGTGTTGAAGTGCCCACACTGTGTAGTGTGCCCACTACACATAGTACAAAAGCCTTATTATGAATGTTTGTCCTTTTGCTTTGTGTAACGTGGAGTGTGCATATGTATGGACAGTGTATGTCCTCAGGACCCTCTAATGGGGCATTGCCAAGGCCAGTGCTGGGACACAGCAGTGCCACATGCAGAGGAGTAATGCGTTGGTGGTCAGCATGCTCTGAAATATCCTTACAGAATAGCCCTGAAGGATCTGGGTTCCTCTAAAGCAAGCTAATGGGAGCTCTGGCCTTGCCAGCTGTGGGCCAGCAGCTGCCATTAAGTTGTTCAAAACCTGTTAAAAATGCAAAGTATGCTACAAATGTCAGGATTTAAAAAAAAAGAAGTACCTTTCCTGCTTGTGTGATAGCACGTTTCCCAGAGCAGTTTCAATCTTTTATTTGGCCTCAGCTGAGGCTTCATCAGCGGCTGCTCCCTCACCTTTAGGAACAATGGGATTTTAGAAGAATTCAGCTCTTTTTTTTCTTCTTATGAGCATGATTCATGCAGGCTGGGCTGCACGATTGCTCAGATGCAATGTCAGCACCTCTTGGCAGCGTGTGCTGAGGAGCTGCAAGTAGTCTGCAATGGATGCAGCTCCCTCTTTTTCCAGGTATTCTTTTTTCTATGACTTACCATATCAAATTGTGGATTTCTGTGCCTTCCAAAACTTTTTTTTCTTTGCTTTAACAACGTGTGCAATCTTGAATACGAATTAACTCCTTTCCTGTGTTGCTGTCAGCCTGCTGCTCCTGCTGAGTCCTTCTGGAAAGACGTGGCTCCGCTGGATGACGTCCTGCAGGTTTTCTGTCCCTTCCACTGCCAGCCTGCAGCCCGCTCTCTGGGCTGCTTCCATGCTGTTTTGTTTCCTCCTTTCTTCATGCATTTGGAAGGGAACCTTTCCCATTTTTATTTTGTTAAGTTGCACCCAGTCTTTTTGGTCTTCTACACCTGTCCTTTAGCAAGCAGGACTACATGCCAGCATGAAGGCTTCATCCAGTGGAGGAAATCTGGATGTCAGGCACCACCCCGGCCATCCTCTTGGTTTGCTGAGGAGGGAACCACGTGGCTGTGGCTGACAACCAGCTCACCAAGCTGCATCCCACCCCACTGGGCATCAGGGTGAGATTTTCAGGTGCCTCTTGCATCGCACCAGCAGGGCAGGACGGCGGGTTGTGAAACACCCACAGTGCCATTCCTGGGGGGCAACGGCTGCCGGCGGTGACAAGGAGGAGTTGTCACTGTGTGACTGCTCCCAAGGAGCTCCAGCAGCCACCCTGGCCCTGCTCCTGTCCACACGTCCCCCTCGCATCGGCCGGGGCGGTCACCGAGGCCGGCTGAGCGATCAATCGCCGCCCAGGATTTCCAAACCTGCCTTTTAACCCGCTGAGCCGGGCTCCAAAGCAGAGCTTCCTGCCACCATGAAAACAATCATTGCAGCCTGTTCCCAAAATCTGAGTGGTAAGGAATATCCAAATGTTTGAATGGTTCCTAACGCTCCGGCGCTGTATGGGCTCGGGCAATTAGCGTTTGCTGTCACTTATTGTCTGTTTGCTTTAAGACTGCTCAGGGGAAAGGGAGGTGTTGGGAACAATTTGGGGTTAGCGGCACCAGAGGAAAACATAAAGTTGCTCAACAGGAATGGGATTTCTTAAGTTAATGCTGACCAGGCGTTAGGAAACGCTCCTCCTGTGAGATGCTGCAAAGTGATGCCAGTTCTGCTCTCATCTCCGCGCTGCCCGGAGCCGTGGACGCTGAGCTCCTCAGGGGAGGCTCCCACCACGACTGGGGAGCGGTGTGGGCACAGCACCGGGCATCGCCCATTGCTCCGCTGATGGTTTTCATTGTGCAGTCTGGAAACCAGCGGAGTGCTCGAGGGGCTGTAAAAAGAGCTAAAAAAAGCAACGTTGGGGTAGGCACAGATGGGCTGTGTGTCTTCGCTGGAAAAGTCAGCAGGCATTGGGAAAGCTGAGAGCCACGGGGCTGGAGGATTTCTGGGAATGCGGCATAGCAGGGGGGTGTTTGGAACGGGGACAGCGCTGAGAGGGGGCAGAATCCTTCTGCCAGGCTGGTTCCAGCACTCTGTTTTTCCCTATTGCTCCGTTCTTCCCAATTGCGCTGTTCCTGATTTGGTTTGAGGTGGGAAGAGGTGAGCTCCCCCCGGGACTGCTGCTGGTCCTCAATGGGCACAGCTCTATCCCCTCTTCCCCTGCACATCTCTCTCACTGCAGGTTTCAAGTTGTTTTCACAGCCCTGCTGCATCTCAGACCTTTGGACGATGGCTCAGGCCCGTTTTGGGGGAGGAGGGATGGGGCTACTTGTGGAGTTTGGATCCTGGCACTGTCTGGGGTAGTTAATGGTTCACCAGATCCAGCAGTGGGGAGCAGGGCCAGGCTGTCTCTTCAGGGACAACGGGGGCATCCACCCCTACTGCTGTCCTTGGCACGGCCGGGAGGGCAGACATCAAGCATCCCCAGCCCATCCACCCCACATCCCAGCACCAGCCAAACAGGGCCACTCCTAGCATGGCGGTGACTCTGTGGATGGGAACGCTGAGCCCACCGTGTCTGTGTCCCCACAGGCAGCCGTGCCAGCCTCCATGCCGCCCTGCGCACACTGCTGGCCGTGCCATGGCCCTCACAGAGGGATGTCCGTGCCTGGCTGCAGCTCCTTGCAGTGCTCCAGTGGGTGCTCAGCTTCCTGCTGCTGGGTGAGTGGGGCCATGGGGGCTGTAGGGCTGGGCGTGCGCTCACTCACCCACCCCATCCCACAGGCCCCGTCACCCTGGTGCTGCTCCTCTACCTGGTGTTCACCCGCTTCTGGCCCATCTCTGCTCTCTACCTGGCCTGGGTCATCTTTGACTGGGACACACCAGAGAAAGGTGGGATGGGATGGGATGGGATGGGATGGGATGGGATGGGATGGGATGGGATGGGATGGGATGGGATGGGATGGGCACTATGGACACTCCATTTCTCTGGGTCTGCCCAAAGCAATGCCAAATCTTCCTCCTTCCACCTACAAATGGCAGCAAGAGGGATACAGCCCTCTGTCTGCTGGGATGGGCCCTCATGACTCCATTCCTGTCTCACTTGCAGGCGGCAGGAGGCTGCCATGCTTGAGGAGGTGGTCTGTGTGGAGGCATTTTCGGGATTATTTTCCTGTGAAGGTGAGGAGCAGGGTATGGTGTGGGGGTGACAACACAAACAGCTGTGGCACCATCCCAAAGGATCCGCCGTGCTCTCTAAGCAGTTCCCATGACTATGAACCAGACGGGAGCAGTGCTGTTATTCCAGGTGTCCCCAAGTCCTTGCCTGCAGCACACAGTGCTACCACAGAGCCCTGTCAGTCCCCTCTGTGCCCACAGCCCTCTGTCCCTGCAGTTGGTGAAGACACACGACCTGTCCCCCGGCCACAACTACATCATTGGTTCCCACCCCCATGGCATCCTCTGCGTCGGCGCCTTCTGCAACTTCATCACCGGCTCCACTGGCTTCTCTGAGCTGTTCCCAGGCATCCGGCCCTTCCTCACCACACTGGCTGGCAACTTCCGCCTGCCCCTCTTCAGAGAGTACCTCATGAGTGGGGGTGAGTGGTGTGGGGTTGGGGTGGGGGTCCGGTGCCTGCATCCCTGCTTCCAGCCATGACCTCTGGTCCCCAGCTGTGCCCAGTGGCTGCACTCCCAAGGAGCGGGAAGGGCATGGGCTGAGACTACCTGTACCTGTGCACGCTTTGCCTGCAACCTTTGTGCACCTTGTTTGCATCCTGCACGTATCTTTTTTGCAGTGTTTACATCCTCTGACATCTTGGTTGCATTCTGATTGCACCTGCGTGCATCCTATGCTTACCTCCTCTTGCGTTGTTTGCACCATCTGCAAACCTCGCTCACATCCTGCTCGCATCCTGTGTGCTCCTGATCTGTGCTGTCTGCACCTTACGCACACCCTGTGCACACCTGTGAGCACCTTGTTTGCATGCTCTGCACACCCTGCTTGCACCCCTGCCCAGATTTTTGCATTCTTTTGAACACCTACACGTCTTGCTTGCACCCGTGCACACCCTGCCTGCACCCCATGTGCACCTTTTTTGCACTATTTCACTCTGCGCTCTGTGCTCACATCCCACCTGCAGCCCTGCTGTCCCCATTCTGTCCCTTCCAGACACGATCCCTAGCGGGGTCCTTTGCACAGTTTCCCCCCACCCTACAGACTGCATTTCTCCTGCCATAGGCCTGTGCCCAGTGACACGCCGTGCCATCGGCCACCTGCTCTCCAACAACGGCACCGGCAACGCCGTGGCCATCGTCATTGGAGGAGCAGCTGAGTCCCTCTCCTGCAGCCCCGGCGTCACCACGCTCATCCTGAAGAACCGTAAAGGCTTCGTCCGCATGGCCCTGCAGCACGGGTGAGTGTGGGAGCACTGGGAGGGCACCGGGTGAGAGGCACGGGGTCCCAGCACACCCCCTCAATGCCACCGTGTGCCCCGGCAGTGCCTTCCTCGTGCCCTCCTTCTCCTTCGGAGAGAACGAGCTGTTCCGCCAGGTGGTGTTTGAGGAGGGCAGCTGGATGCGGGCCGTGCAGCAGCGCTTCCAGAAGATGATGGGTTTTGCTCCCTGCGTTTTCTATGGCCGTGGCCTCACCTCCGTGCGCTCGCGGGGCTTCCTGCCCTACGCCCGGCCCATCACCACCGTGGGTGAGCGGCTACAAGGGGAGGAGGAGGGTGTCTATTTGATGCCGGGAGGTGGAACTCGGTTCACGTCCCACCAAGCTCAGTGCTGCCCTGTGATGGCTTCCCTTCCCGCAGTGGGGGAGCCGGTGACGGTGCCCAAGATCGAGGAGCCGAGCAGCGAGGTGGTGGATCTGTACCACGGCATGTACGTGCGCTCCCTGCTCAAGCTCTTCAATGACAACAAGACCAAGTATGGGCTGTCAGAAGGGGATGAGCTGCGCATCGTGTGAGTGCTGTGGGCATGGGGACGCGTGGCTGACGAGGCCCTGCCGCTCCCCCTCCTCCTCTTCCTCTCCTGGCACCCAAAGGCTGGTGGAGGCCCCAGAGGTGCCACCTCCAGGATTGCAGTGATGGGCACGGCCCCATACAGTCACCATGAGCAGAGGGAGGGCGTAGGGTGTCGTGAGGAAGAGGAGGGAGGTCGTAGATTTGCATCCCCAAGGCCGGGCAGGGGAGGTGTTCCCCCCTTGGAGCAAGGGAAGGGACGCTCAGACACAGGAACCGGTGACAGTGGCCTCGACGTGGTTGTTGGGTGATATCTGTCATACAAATTTCCATCCCCTCACCGTGTCCTGAGTGTGCTTTGGGGTGCTCGATCGATCGGGGCACAGCATAGGGGTGGGTGGATGGGGTTTGGTGGCACTGCAAGTAATGGCGACACAGTGCCTGTGCTCTGGATCTCCTTCCCCAGGCATGGGCTGGGTGTGCAATGAGGGGCAGGGACAGCCCCATGTAGGGGCTGACGCGAGATGCAGCTGATAAGCATCTCCAGGCTGCTTGTCTTTACGCAGATCCACAGTTAAACATAACTGAGTAAATATTTACAGAGGAAACACCCATAAAGGCAGATTCTCCTACAGGCCTTCCCCACCCATCTCTTGTCATCCCAGTGCCACCCTCCCCATCCCATGGCCCCAGGCTTGCCCCAGATTATGTCTTAGTATGAAGGGGCTTCACTACTGTACCCTTACCACGAATATGTCCTCCTTCTTCCTCCTGATACAGGGAGGACCAGTTTAGCATGTGAAAAAGGGAAAAGTGCTTTATTGGGGTCCATTGGCAGCACAGCCCTTCACCGCCTCCCCCAGGACGCTTTGGGGGGCATCTCTGAAATGTGGCTCCATGCCCATCCCCCAAGTGTCCTCACCCTGAGGACAGTGCAGCGCATTGCAGCAGGAGACTGAGCCCTCAGTGCTGGCGGCACTGGACTGAGTGACAAAGTCTCAGTAGAGACCCTGGCCAGGACCATGACCATTCCTGCTGTCCCCACGTATCACCACCTGACACAGAGCTGCTCCTCCACTGTCCCTAATGTCAGTCCGCTCACTGAGCTCTATGGTCAAGCACTCTGTGCATGCCTGGGGAGGGACAAATGTTTTCTTAGTGACCTGGGATGCACCCCATGGCCACCCTCCCTCAGACCCATGGTCAGTGCTTCAGACAGGTTTGTGGGACCAGGGCTTCCGTGCTGTGTCTCACTTCACTTCTCATTGCCCACCTCTGCTCCTCGCTGTCCCTCCCTCGACTCTCACTTTTGCAGCAACTGCCAACCACACTGCTGTCCACGGAGGGGGACACGAGGCCCAGCAGGGAAGTGGGCACAGGCTGGGGCCGCTGGGCTGCCCCCCGGCGCAGCCGTCCCCGGTACTTGTCCCCAGCCATGAAGTACAGAATGGGGTCCAGGCAGCTGTTGATGCTGGCCAGGGGTCGCGTGATCTTGTAGGTGAAGTTGATGATGTTGAGGGTCTGGCAGTCAGCTTGGAAGTAGCGAGAGGTGTAGTAGAGGGTCCGTGTGATGTGGAAGGGCACGAAGCAAATGGCGAACACTGTGAGCACGATGATGATCATCTTGATGGAGCGCTTCTTGTAGGAGGGCATGCGGGGGCTGGGGCTGGGGAAGCTGCGCTTGCAGAGCCTTTTGGCCATCAGGCAGTAGCACACAACAATCACCAGGAAGGGAATACCGAAGAGGAGGGCCATGACGGAGGAGCTGTAGTGCACGTAATTGTCAAACTCCTCGGGTTTGGTGGTGTCATGGCAAAGGGTGGTGTTGTCCTTGGAGCTGGTGGTGACGAAGATGAGGTTGGGGATGAGGCAGATGGTGACAACCAGCCAGACACCCACGCAGATGAGCCGCGCGTGTTTGGTCTTCACCCACTTGAGGGAGCGGATGGGGTGGCAGATGCCCAAGTAGCGGTGGACACTGATGCACGTCAGGAAGAGGATGCTGCTGTAGAGGTTGGCGTAGAAGAGGAAGCGCACGATCTTGCAGAGCACCGTCCCGAAGGGCCAGTTGTTGCGGTCAGCGTAATAGTAGACCAGGGTTGGGAGGGAGAAGACGTAGAGTGTGTCAGAGATAGCCAGGTTGAACATGTAAGTGGTGGTGGCATTCCAAGGCCTCATCCTGGAGACAAAAATCCACACGGCCCAAGAATTGAGGGGCAGACCCACCAAGAAGACGATGCCGTAGGAGATGGGCAGCAGGATGAACTTGAACTCCTCGTTGAAGACGCACTCTGCCTCCGCAGCAGCGGTTGTGTTCCCTTCCAGCCAGGGGGTCGGCGTCGGCGTCCACGGGGCAAGTGAGAACATCCTCACCGGAGCGTCCATGTTCTCCCAGCCAGAGCTGCGGGAGCAGTTAATAAACACACATTAGCTGTTGATCCCGACCATTGTCAGGCACAAAGCAGGGCAGGCGGCCAAAGATGCCAGATTTTCCCCCCCTCCAGGAGCTCCGGCCACTTTGATGCTTCTCTGTTTTTTCTCAGCTCTTGGGTTTGGGCTTGACACGTCCTCCCCTCCGGAGCCCTCCCAGTGACACCCGCGGATCGTAGCTCGGAGCAGCGCGCCGTGACACCGCGTGGAGCCGGGCAGGGTGCCCAGGGCCAGCCAGCAGACCCGCGGCGCAGCAAACAATGAAACCTTGATCAGCAACAGCAGCTCCTGCACGGTGCCAGCGCAGCCTCTTGGAAGCCGGCTCAGCCTAATTGGCACCGCCGTGACAATGCCGCCAGTCCCAGAGGGGTCCTCCCCAGAAGAAAGGCGGGAGGAGAAGAAAGGATTGTCTGGAGGGGTACGATGGCCCTGAGAAATCCTCGGGGGGCTGTTAGGGGAGCCTTTGGGAGGGCATTCCTGGGAGCGAGGGGCCTCCAGCTGCCCGCTCTCCTCCCCAGGAGAGCAATGAGTTCAGCTGCACAGAGAGGAGCTGCTCCCGTGCCAAACCCCAGCCCGACACAGCGCGAGTTCGAAGCCATCGGGACATTTCCCCCTTTGCACATTGTTCGGATCAAAGGCCGGGATTCTCATCGTCCCAGCAAATTGGTCCCCGGGGGTGAAAAGCGAGGGCAAGCTGTAAAACGGTTGCACTCGCCTTTGGAGATGTCTAAAGTTCAGCACCCGCTGCTCCAGCAGACATGGGGCAGCCGCCCTGGGCAGGGGTTGGCTGTGCTAAAAGCCTCCCCTGTGCTAAAAGTCAGCGCGGGCTGCTGGTGGTGGGAAGGGCTCACAGAAGGCAGTGCTGATCTACAGGTGGGCACCGGGATGGAGCAGAGCTCGGCTCAGGGAGTGAAGCAGGATGCTGGTTCGGGAGGGGTGAGAAGAAAGCTGTGCCACCCCATGCTCCTGTCCCCCCATTCCCTTTACCGCTTTCCTTCGCAGTGAGCACAGCTGGCAGGGCTCTCCCCAGGGCACATCCGTGGCTCCGTTAAGCCATCGTCCCGCAGAGGCACCCCACTGTTTGCAGAGATGATCATAAAGTAACGAATGGCACCAGGACCAGGCACCAGCTCCGCTCGCAGCCCAGCAATTTGTTTGAGTTCTGGGCTGAGCTCAGCTTTGGGCCCAAACCCAGCACCCCTTCCTGCTGTGAACGGCTTAATGACCGGATGAGTTCAGAGAGCAAGAGGCTGGCCCTGATCAAACATTAACAGCGGGACCTCGCTCTGCTCTCCTTGTAGGGACTGGGAATACCAATGGGGGCAGCAGGAACAGGGGGTCCGTTCTCCTCTCCCACCCTCTGAGGATGGCAGAGCAGCACAGCACAAAGTCCTGTAAGAGCGGCGGTGCTTCAGGTTGCGGCCACCGCTGCCAACCTCTGCGAAGCTGCCGACCAACGAGGATGATCTGAATAATCCAATTAAAAAAAAAAAAAAAAGACATCTGATGTAAGAAACGCACAAAGAAAACGCGGTGCCGGATGGCTCAGGGCAGAGGGCAGGTGATAAAACAGGTGAAACCTGAGGCCGGCTGCAAGCGGCAGCGTGATTTGGCTGCTCCTGAGCAAGCTGCCTTCAGGAAAACCACTGACAAACTGAAATGCAAAAGAAGATGACAACTGACAATCTTGATCTCAGCACTCGGGGTTTCCTACTTCCTCATCTTACTCACGATCAAAGGCAGTGGTTTAAAGGGCTCTGATTTACGCCCATCCACCCCGAGGACACGTCACTGCTGTTTGTGTTCCTCGAGCACGGCCCCAGGGAGGCTCTTGCAGCCACTGCTTTCTCTGTGCACTTTTCTGGACGGACCACCTGCAGCGGTGAGGCTCTGAGCCCAGCTGGGAGCTGGCAGGGGATGACGCAGGGCCGGGGAAGTGATGCTCAGTTCTGCCCTGCCCCTTTTGTGGATGCACAGGGCTGTGGTGTGGGGACTAGTATTTCCCCTTGCTGTGAGTGCAGCTGGTGGCACACAGGGATGATGGCCAGAGAGAGAGGGGGGCTGGGGACAACCTCAGGGCACAAATCTGGACCATGTGCTGCCCTTTGAAGATGGGGCACGGAACAGACTGCAGAGGGGAACTTGGCTGGGTGAGCCAAAGGGGCTCGGGGAAAACACAGGGCTTTTCTTCTCTCTTAAACCCTTGGAAATTGCAAAACAAGGGGAAATTGTGCAAAACATCCTGCAGAAGACCCTTGTCCCTAATCGCCACGTGGTGAGCCCAGCCAAAGCCCTGGCACCAGGGGAGCGTGACCTGATTTCTCTGAGCTCCCTTTCGCTTGCCCGAGCTCCGTCCTTCCTGGGGCTGGCAGTGGTGCTGGGGCTGTGCAGTACCCCACTGCAGCCTGCCCAGGTGCCCCCAGGTGTCGGCAGGATGAAGGTGACAGCCTTTTCGTCCTCAAGTGCTCTGTTCAGCCCTTCCACCGCACCAGTTTGCAGCACCGAGCAGAGCTGCAGCAGCCACAGGGCCAGCCTTGTCTTCAAAGGAGATGGCATTTGGGGGCTGCAGAGGAAGATGAAGGAGGGGAGGTGGCTGCCCCTGGACATACAAAGGTTTTTGGTGGTAGAGGTTCGCAGTGGTGTGGTTGGAAGGAGAAATTTAGGGATGGACTGACCCCACCCTCCCCCCATCCCAATCGTACACCCCCTGGATGTCACTGCCAATCTTCTCAGGGCCAAAGCTGCATCTCCAGAACCCCCAAGCCTGGCTAGGTTTGTACAGTCATCACATCACAGTGGGACCATCCCAGCTGCTGCCCTCCCCAAGACCCCCACCTCACCTCCGCTCCAGGGATGGGGTGACTCTCATCTGCGGGGCTCCCCCAGGGAACACCCGTCCCCCATAGGACCCAGGGCCATGCCGCCGTGCCCGGCCGGCCCGCGTCGTGCCTGCTCGTGCTCTTCCACGCTGGGAGCAAAGTGCCTGGGAGAGGCAGGGCTGGAGGTGGGCGGAGGCGGGGGCAGGAACCCGCTGCTCGCTGTGCGCCGTGCCGGCGTCCCTGCCTGCCCCGCGGGCCGCTGCGGGGCTCAGCGCTGCTGCTCTCCCGTCCTGCCCTGCCCTGCGCCCGTGCAGCCTTCGGACTGGATGCAGCCCCCGAGATGTGAGATGTGTGTTTTTCTCTCTCGGTTGCTGGGGACCTCAGCCCCACGGCTGCGGTCTGCCACTCACGGGCACCGCGTCCCATTTGTCCGTGGGCGCCATATGCTCTCACCCACGGGATCGCGGCGCCTTGCAGATGGGAACCGGCCGCGATCCCGTGGGTGAGAGCATTCTTCTCCCTTGGGGACCAAGCGCCCTCAACCCTGCGGACTCCGGCCTTTCTCCTTCGGGGGCAGGATGGCATCGCAGCCCTGCGAGGCTCTCCTGGGGAGAAAGGCGGCCACTGCCACCTTGAGGCCGGCCCGGGCATCGTGTCCCCAAAGCGGGCAGCAGCAGCAGCCTGCGGTTCGGCAGCACGCAAATGCGTGTCGGGTCTCCCCGTGGCTTGGCAGAGCAGACGTCTGTCCTCAATGTGTGTACGTGCACACTTCAGCGTCCTCCAGACCCTGACACTTTATTCTGGGTGATAACAGCGCAGTGCACCCCAAAGGACGCAACCTCAGGAGCAGCTGCTGCAGAGCTCCTTGGGGAACTGCCCAGCCAGGGTGTGCAGGGCCTCAAGGACCAAAAGTCCAGCGGTCCCTTTGTCCTGAGGGGCCTCAGTGTGTCCTGTGCCCCCTCCTGCTGGTAGGGCTCAGCAAGGTCTTTGCATTGCTTTGGGGAGGGCCATGGAGACACACAGTGACACCCCGAGAGCATCCATCTGACGTCCATAGGAACTTCATGAGACTTCCCAGCAGAGGCACAGCAGTCAATCACTCCACATCAGGGTGCTGGCCACGGTTAGGTGAGATGCCAACAGAGTCGGCAAGGGAACAACTATGGGACATCTCCAGTCTCACATGCGCAAGTTTAGGTGTTGGGTTTGGGGTGGGCTCAGTGCTGCTGGCTCCCCGAGGGGCTCCCATGCACTTTTACATGGTGCAGGGACGTGCAAGGCTGAGCACCCCAGCTCCCAGCACGTCTTGCTCAGTGCCATCCCTGCACATACAGCAAAAGACCCTTTTGCCAATAAGTGGGGACCCCCTGGGTGTCCATGAAGATCTGGGGACACACAGTGGGTCTGTCTCCCCAGTCTCCTGTACCCTGCATGGAGGGGTTCACCTCTCATCCTCCCCCAGGCGCAGGGCTCTACTGGGGACCCTGGGGACAGCAGTGCTGCCCTGCTCCATGCCTGCTGCTGCCAGCTCCAGGGCTGGGGGGTACCTGAAGATTTCAGTGCCGTCCCAGCCATGTGCACACAGCCCCTCCTCACGCTGCTGCACTCCAACGTGGCCTGGCCCAGCACCAGCACTGCAGGACCTGTCACAGCACCACTGGGGAAAGAAAAACAAGGGAAGGCTTCAGCCCCGTGACAGCAGAAATGCCCACCTTTGTGTCCCCACCCTGCATGAACCGTGCACCCCAGCACCACCACCCCTCAGCCATCCACACCCCATTGGTGTCTCTACAAAGGGACACCTTTGTAGGTGCTTCTGGGGGTGGCCCTGCTTCTGGGGGTGGCCCCTTAACCAAAAGCACATCCCACGGTTGTACCTCTCTGTGGTGGCCATGCTGGTAAGCGCTCACTCCATGCCCCGGCACCCGCCGGCAGCGTGGTGAGGGTGGCTGAGGGGCACTGTGGCTCTGGTGCAGCAGCATTTGGTGGCCATCCCCTTCACCCCTGGGGAGCATGCGGTCCAGCTGGCTCAGGTCGGTGGCCATGTGCAGCACTGTCAGAGAGTAGTCGCCACCCTCCGGCACATCCCTCGCCAGGACGGCCGATTTGGGGCGCTTCTGCCTGCCCACACCAGGAGGGCTCAGCAGGGACCTGCAGGGTGAGGGCAAAGGGGTCCGTGTCTGGGGGGGACCCCGCACGGGGCTGTTCTCCTGTGCGTCAGCACCCAAAGCCCACGTGGCAGGTAGTCCCTCAAAGATGAAGTAGGCCGGGTTGGTGTAGCTGCTGGTCACCTCTGGGAGGCTGCGGGGACGGCTCCTGCAGGGCACAGCATCACCAGGCTCAGCGTCACCTGGGGATGGGGCACGAGGATGGACCCCAGCCTGAGGGGGTACCTGAGGAGCGGCTTGGGGCACAGCGGGGAATCCTCTGCTGGAGCATCCTCCTCCTCCTCAAAGCTGATCCACTCTGCAGAGCACAGAAGTGTCACTTCTCCCCACTTGGGCACATGGCAGCAGTGGGGTGGCACGGCGGCACCTTACCGTAGAGCCTCTCGCGGGTGCTGCGCCTGTCCTTGGGGACGCGGACCTTCATCCGGCCCCGCATGGAGCCTGTCTCCTCGCCGTGGTGGAAGAGGAAGGTCTCAAACTGCTGGGCCATGCTGCCGATCATGGATCGCATCGCGATGCAGCACTCGCCTGCACACAAAGCACGGTGAGCCCCACACCCAGCAGCACCCTGCCCGCGTCCCCATCCCGTGCGCACCGTACGACTCGCAGCTCTCCACGCCCTTGATGCTGAGGAGCAGGTGCTGGTCACCCAGGTACTCCACGTCGGGCAGGATGGGGTTCAGCTGCACGAAGTGAGAGGGGCAGGGCGGTAAGGAGCGCCTCTGTCCTCGGGGGATGATCACAGCACGCAGGGGGGGAGGGACGGGAACGAGGAGGCGGGAGGATGCTGAGCCCTCCCCTCTGTGCTGTGCGTACCACGGGCAGCTGCTTTGCTGACCAGCACATCCTCAGGAAGCCGGGGACGTCGCAGTTCTGCGAGGTGTTCTCCCCACTGCGCTGTGCCTCTGCCAGGGGAGAGCCATGGGGACAGCTCCAGCCCCACGCCAGGCACCGAGCTCCCCTGCTCAGCACTGCAGCCGCAGGGCACCTCACCCTCCAGGCAGTAGGAGTGGAACTCGATGTAGCACTTGCTGCGGCTGGCAGTTTTGACGATCACCTCGATGCTGTCCCACTCGATGCAGGCCAGGGGCTCGGGGCCAGTGCCAGGAGCTGCAGGACATGGGGGTTCTCAATGGGGGCCGAACCCCAGTGGGGATCAGACCCCGTCCCCTTGTCCTTACCCTTCTTAGGCACAAACTGCGACGTCACACCCACCTCAAAGGTGGCAAAGACGGGCGAGTGGTCACTGGTGACGATGTCATCAGTGCAGCCTGGCATGGGGAGAGGCAGCTGATGGGCTGCCAGAGCCGTGAGACTGCACGGGGCTCAGCCCCATCCCCAGGTGCCACTCACCATAGGAGCTGCAGACCAGGTGGGTCTCTGGGAGAGACTTCCAGAGGATGCGGTCACACCACGAGGGGACATTGATCCTCATCTAGGAAGGAGAAAAGCGACCGCTATAGGTGTCCTCTTAGGGTCAGGATGTTTTCTCCTAGCCTGCTTCTTCCTCGCCACCAAGAAAATGTATAGAGTGGCCCTAAAGCTTCACCTCCCCCCAGGGGAAGGCTGAGCACCCTGTCTAGCACCATCTGTCCCACTGTCCCCATCCCCTATCTGTGTCCACATCCCAGTGATGTAGGAACTCACCCCTGTGGTCTTGAACTTCTGCCACATGTAGTTGTCCCGGGAGCCCCGCTCATACCGGTAGGTTGGTGGGAAGGAGATGTCGCCCTCTCCTGGGAACCGAGACACACAGATGATATGAAGCCAGCATTTCCAACTGTCCCCAGAGGTGCAAACTGCTCCAATGGGGTCAGGTCCTGAGTTTCCCCATGCCCACATGCTCCCAGCTGTGGGGACGCTGCCCAGGAGGGGCTCATGATGCACATGACTTTCCCCAGGTTTTTGGCAGCTCGCACAGAGCCATGCAGGGACACAGTGCTGGAGGTGGCACTGGCAGAGAGCTGGAAATCCCTGGCTTCCACTGGGAAGGCAGCAAGCAGCCCAGCAGCCCCACACTCACGGAACTGCAGGAACACCTTGTTCTTCTCCCGCTCCATGTTGAGTTGGTCCATGGCTAGGAGGATGTCAAACTCCTTCTTAGTGACATGGGTCAGGACGTCCTGAGCAGGCACAGGAGGAGCAGTGAGCACTGGCGCTGACACCCTGAGCCCAGCTCCCCACAGACGCACACCTGCACATCCATATCCAGGCGGTAGTTGAGGTCCCCGAACCAGAAGAGGTGGGTGAAGCGCAGCGTGAGGTCGAAGGCGCTGAGCCGTTTGTCGCCCAGTGCCAGAGAGCGCAGGATGTCACTGTAGTTCTGGTTCCGCCTGTGCCGTGCGGAGGGGATGGCAGCCACGTGTCAACCACTGCGGGGTATCGTGGGGCCACCCCTTGCCCCTGAGGCAGGAGGGGGATGGGGTAACCCCACACCAGCCCACGGTGTCCCCATCACCTGTGGGTCTTCTCGCTGCCCGAGGCCAAATGGCAGTTGACAAAACCGAAGGAAGTCCCGTTGAAAAGAAAGGAGACACCCACAGCCCCCTTGTTCCCTATGGGGACACCGAGCTCAGGGGCGTGGAGGTGCCCTGGGGCAGCCCCCCCAGCTCAGTATCCCCATCTCTTCCTTACCCAGAGTGTTCGCAATCCCTGTTTTGACACTGGAGGTGTGGACGTGGCTGATGCGCCGCTCGTGCTCTGGCTTCACCAACACCACCATCTTGATGCTCCAGAGGCACTGCAGGGCCACCTGCGGGACGGGGCAGTCAGCCCAGCTCCCACATTGCAGGAAGGCAAAGCATCCCCAGAAGTTGCTCATTACCACTCGGTAGTCGATGGCCATCAGCGTCTTCAGGGACGCGCGCAGGAACTCGACCCACTCGCGGTCACCCAGGGAGTTCTCCTGTGTGCCGATGACGTAGATGTCATGCGGGATGCAGGCAGTGGTCTCGTCCTGTGTGTGTCCCAGGCCCCTCGAGGTCAGCCAGGAGGCCAGGGAGCGGGGCGGCGGTGTGCTGCCTGGGGATGGGACAGCAAGTGACTGCCTCGCACCCTCCTCCACCCCAGTACCTGCTGGGGATGGGAAGCATCACACCAGCACCGTGGTCCACCCATGCCCATCTCAGACCTGCAAAGCCCTCCAGGTACTCATGTCTCCAACAGCAATGGGGCAAGCAAACTCCAAACCACGAATGGCCATGATGGGGACTTCTACAGCCTCTCCCTCCCACTGAGGACCAGCTCACACCTTGCCTGTCCTAAGGCAGCTCCCTGCAGACCCTTCCAAACCGTCCCAGGTTTGCAGTGGGCTGTGAAGATCCCCCAGGATGACTTGACTTCATGGAGGTCACTTACCCATGTTCCACGTCCCGACATAAACCGAGATGAGGTCAGGTTCATCCAGGTTGGAGTGTTGGATCTTCATCAGCTGCAGCAGCTGGCAGAAGGCTTCTCGCTTCTGGGAGCAATGCAGGGGGCTCAGGGCATACAGGGCTCAGAGCTGGACCCAGGTATAGGAGAGCACAGAAGCCTCAAAAGCAGACAGGATCAGGGGGATAAGAGCACCCAGGTGCCAGAGCTAACAGAGGCCTGGCCTTGACCTCAAGAGCACCTATTCCCTGCACAGCTAAATAATGGCTCTGTGCTCCCAAAACAGCCTCTCTGAGGAGGTTGGGGGGAGAGGCTGGGGGACATCACCCCACAAAGCCACCCGCATTGCTCACCTTTGCACTGGGAAAGATGAAGTCCTTGCTCAGGCTCTTCTGCAGGTCACGATTGTACACCAGCCTCACCTTGCTCTGCACGCTCTGGTACTTGATTAGCTGCAGGACTGAATGTGGGGCATGAGGGTTACAGGGGGACATCCTGTGTGACAGCACATGGCATGGGACAGAGCTCGGTGTGCAGCCCATGCCATGGAGTCAGGCCCAGCCCAGCAAATGCCTCATGCAGAGAACTGGGGGGCAGCATCCATTTACTTTTGTCCTGTGGGATGACCTCCTCTGGGGACCCACTGCCCCTCTTGGTGATGCTCACTGTGCCCTCCTCCACATCCACTGTCAGGGCTGCGCGCTGCGACTTGCCCACCTTCACCTGCAGCATGGACAGGGGGGGTTCCTGGGTCAGCCCCCACCCATGGGTGACAAAGACGCCGGGGCCACATTGTGTCCCCTATCCTCACCTCAAAGCACTGTGTGGCCATGGGCTTGGTGTCTGGAGGCAGGGCTGCAGGGCTGGGCAGTGCCAGGTTGTGTCGTGACACCGTGTCCTGCAGTGACACGAGGACCTGCCAGCAGGAGGAGTGAGAGATGGGGACATGGTGGGTGACAGCCTGGGGGTGGCTGAGGCACCCAGATTGGAGAGATGCTGTCACTGGGAGTATGGGGTAAGGGGCCCTACGCATGGGGAAAGGCCAGGGGTGCGTGGCTGTGCAGCTGAACAGCAATGTGCTGGAGGGATTAATTAGCTGACCAGTCGGCCAAGCACAGCAAGGAGCTGGCAGCATGTGGGCACCTTCTTCTCCAGTGATGAGAGCAGGTGGTTGACAGCTGAGATCTTGCTGAGGAGCAGCTCCAGGTCAGGATTGCTGGCCAGGAAACCCTGGAGAAGAGGACTGGTGCTGGTGTTGTGTTCAGGTGTGCCCAAGGCTGGCAGGGACCTGCTGCCCCCTCCTGCACTGGGAGCACATAACTCCTTGTCCCCAGTGGGGACCTCATCCCCTCCTTTGTGCTCAGAGAGCACCACAAGGCGTGCAGCACCCTCAGACGCCAAAACCACCCATAGCCCCTGGAGTGGGATGAGCCTGCAGGACTCACCTGCTCTCTGGCCAGACTGCGTGGGGACACAGGAGGCTCAAACACTCTGGCCAGAGTCTCCAGCCCCGCCAGCGTGAAGTCAATCTCACTGCAGAGAGACAGAGGAGCATGAGAGCTGGAGATGCACAGGGACAGGGACAAGCAGGCGGTCCCTCAGCCCTGCCCTCCTCCTGCCATCCTGTGCCACTCACCTGTGCAGCCCCCGGCAGGCGGTGACGAGAGCAGCACTGAGATGGTGCAGATGCGGGTGCCCACTGTGCAGTGCAGCCAGGTCCAGTGGTAGGTGCTGTGTCAGGTAGTCAGCCATGAAGCCCATGAAGTCACTGGATGGGCTGTAAGGGGGGGCAGTGGCTGGGAACGGAGGTACCCAGGCTCAGAGAGGTGCCAGCCTCAGCTCGGGATTTGCAAACCACAGGGAAAGGCATCTTGTGCCCTGCTCCAACTCCAGCATGAGCAGGGCTGGATGTGGGCAGCCACCCTTAAGGGCATCCTCTTGGTCTTGCATTTTTGGGATGTGCCACTTCCATCCTGCTATGCTGTGCCCACCCCGGTGCATTACCTGCTGTGGATCTGCTCCTGAAGCCTCAGCTGCAGCTGCTGTGAGATGTGGGGATGGGTGGGGGGAGCACCAGGCCCTGTGCTCTCTGCATTAACCCTGGTGGGCACCATGCTGCCAACATGGCCACCTCTTCCATCTTCTCCATCTGCAGGCACAGATCCCAGCTCAGCGCCATCACCTCTCTGCCGGCAGCCCCAACCCTTTGCCCCCATGCCCTCACCAGAGTCCTCATCAGCTGCTTCCCGGAGCTGGTGCACAGGGTAGAGCAGCTGTGTCACCAACCCATTGTTGGGCTGCTGGTAGGCGCTGATCAGCTCATGGAGGCTGCGGAAGTACTTGGCCTGGATACCCTGTATGGTCTGGAGGGGGGGCAGAGGGGACGGTGGCCACCATGTACCCCATCCACAAGCCAGGTGCCTCCAGCCAGGTTCACTGTGGGCAATGGGGGATGCGCTGCACGCTCTCACAGCAGGGATAGTGGCAGACAGGAGACAGCATTTTCACAAAGCCTCCCCCAGGAGCAGCAGCAGTGGGCGGCCATGGGGCTGCCCAAGTGGCATCGCTCCCAGGCGGCTGCGCTGCAGAAAGGGTCGGTGCAGAGCTCCCACATCCTGTGCTGTTGCACTTATGCAAAAAGCAAACCGCACCGCTCACCACGTGCGGGAAGCTGCAGGCTGCACCTCGCCGTGTGCTGTGCAGAAGTTGGAGGTGGGGGTGAATGCCCCCCTTCCCTGTGCACTGCTTCCTGCACTCACCTGGACGGAGAGCAGCCCCTCATCGTTGGGCAGGATGCGGTAGGTGTGGACGTGCCGCTGGAACCTACAGGAGAGCAGAGCATCTGCACCCTGTGCACTTTGCAGGTAGAAGAACTGAGCTCCTGCTTCAGGTAATGAAGCTGTCACCTTCTGCCCTCCCCATAGCCCATGCTCCCCAGCACCATGTGTTTGCCATTCGCACCATGCACCTGGCCAGGAAAGCCATAGGGAACTGGGGGGCATCCTTCTAAACCCGCAGAAGCACTGTCCGTGCATCTCCAACACATCTGTGCAGTATGTCCCTCAGTCGTAGTGGAGGTCCACCTCAGCCCCAACCCTGTGCCTCCAGCAGCAGCAGTGATTTAGGTGCTGGGGCTGCTCAAACTGGCAGCTGAGAAGTTAATAGCAGGCACTGTGGTCCGGATGCTGGCGCGCCAGAGGCTGGACGCAGAGGGGATGATTGTATTCACACAGAGTGAGCTGTGCTGGCCGCTTCCTCCACCCCACGCAGGGGCCAGGCAAGCACCCAGATGCACCTGAATGTGAGCAGCCCCACAGGGCACAGCGTGCTGACCCATGGATGTGGGGTGGGAGCTTTGCAGGGCCCCCCACCTCACACCGAGCTGGGCATCACCGAAAAAGCCCCATCACTGATTGCCGAGCAAAGCAGAAGTGGTGGCTGCACCCTGCACACATCCTTTTTGCTGTCGAATGATTTGCAACCCCAGCCCTGCCTTGCTGTCGCTCCGCTCCATCCCCCCACTCTGCTGCAGGGACCGGGGACAAGAAAGAAGCCAAGTGCAGAAAGAAGGCAGAACTCACAGGAGGCACAGGGCGTACGCCCCTGCGATGGACTCACTGTCCCGCACCAGGAAGCAGCCATCGCGCCCAGCCTTGGCCAGCAGCTCCTCGGCCACCACCCTGCTGATGTCCCGGTGGTACCAGCTTGCTGCTGCCATCCTCGTGGGTGGCACAATGTCAGCTGCACTGCGTTGTGTCCCTCACCCAACATGGGCTGATTGCCGTGGAAGGGGAAGGTGGGGGCCCGGAGGCTGTGGGTCCCGATGGGCGATGTGCAGCTCCTGCTCACAGGGTGCCCCGCACTGATCCCCCCAGCTGGGTGGTGCAGTAGGAGTGGGTCTGGGGGGGCTGTGGGGTGAAGCTGGGGGTCCGGGTGCTCCTCATCATGGGTGGCTGCAGCCTGCAGAGTGAAGGGGAGCACAGAGGGGGAGATCAGGAATCCGCGGCAGCATCACCCCACCGGCGTCCTGCCCTGCTGCACCACGAGCATGAGGCCACACGGACATCCCGGCAGCACGTGGGATCCCGTAGGTCACCAGAAGTACTCACCCTCTCTCGCAGACATGGCACTGCACACCCTGTGCCCCCACCGCCTGTCCCCTGCAGCCAAGCCCACTTCTCACGGCCCCGCTCTGCACTGCTGCGCCTGCCCACACCCTTCTTCCTTAACGCTCTGCTCGCTCCACATCTGGGACAGCCTCCTCGCTCCTCCTCCCACTCCAGCCCTGCTGGCAGGAGGAAGCCGGCAGCCATGCTGGGCCCCGAGCACAATGGGGGCTGCCCAAGCACCACCACCCTGCTGCCATGCAATCCCAGACCCTACCCCACAGTTGTACCCAGCGGAGGGGATGGAGGGCTGCACGGCATCACTGTGCTGTGCCGGGGCTGGCAGTGATGGGGATGCCTGCACATGGGGGCTGCCTGCACACAGTGTGGGGCTGAGCTCCAGCCATGCAGAGATGGTGATGCTGTGGGCATTGGGTGGGTGAGAAAAGTAGGTACCCAGTGCTGCATTCACTCATCCTGTTCAGGGGTGCCCTGGCTTCAGGAAGAGGGGAAGCAATGGGCTCAGGGAGGGTATGGGGACCATCACACTGAAGTTTTGCTCCTCGTGGCATGCAGTAAGCAGACCCCACGTGCCAAGAGCTGCGCGGGGCAGCTGCCAACAAGGCTGCGTTAGGGTGATTAGCGCCACGGCACTGTTAATTACAGACAAGCTGCAGCCACCATCTGCTGCAGGAGAGATGGGATGGGGGCTTCACCACCCACGCCAGCCTGGTTCCTCCCTGCTCTTTGCACGATTTGCTCTGGGCAGTTTACAAGACCAGCACGTGGGCACCCCCTGCAGCAAGCAGCAGCAGGCACAAGGACATCCCCACCACCCTCTGCACAAACCTCTCCAAGGCATCCCCTGAGCTCCTGGCACCAAGGAGGAACCTGGTCACCTCAAGGGGCCACCACCTGGTTTGGGGATATCAGCTACGGGCTGGTGGCATTCCCATCCCTCAGCTGTCCCAAGCACAGCTGCATGGCACGGGGCAGTGACTGGGGACTCCACCACCTGGAGACCCCCTCCCACCAGTGCTGCTTTCAGTTGTTACTTAACCATTCCTGTGTTTGCAGGTCCGGCGGCAGGCAGGATTAGTGCTGACCACAGCACCTAATCCAGCTCAGGGTAGGAAGGCACGACGCTGCCAGGGGCTTTGGGAAATCATTGCTGTCTGTCTGCCAGCTTGCCCTGCAGCAGGCTGTGTGTGAGTGGAGCAGCACACAGTGTGGGGACCTGCAGGTAAGGCTTCGTGCCATTCATCAAACAGGAGAAGGATCCAAACACGGGGCTGCGGACCCCGGTGTCCCATTACCTGTGCTGCAGTCACACCGACGCGTGCAGGCACCCAGGTAAGGCTGCACCCAGACCTCCACCACTGGGAAGATCACAGTTCACGTGGCCTCTGCCCTTGGCAGAAATAGTGCCTGCTAATCTGCAGCGTAAGCAGCTCTGTGTGTGCAATTAAAGAGATCACAAGTCATGGACCTGGTCAGCACGTGCTGGCAGCTGCAGCCCCGCATTTCTGTGTGCTCAGTGGGGTGGTTGTGGGGTGGTCCATCCCCACCTCCCGTGTGTGTGTCCCCACACTGCGGGACGACAGTCCCCACCATGGACCCACTTGGTACTTCCCCAGTTTTCTTATTTGCAGCTGTGCATCCTGAATTAACAACATGTTAACTGGGTAAAGTGAGGCCAGCCTGCAGCGTTATGAAATGACCACTGGTGAGGGAGCAGCCCTCGTGGGTGTGTTCACACCATCATCTCGTGAACCACTGTTCCTGGGCCTTCTCTCTTTGGTTCCTATTCTCCCACCACCATGTGTCTGTGTGCTGAGGGCAGGACCAGGTGGCAGGGATGCACCCACCGCTCACTGCCCAGGGACTGATTCTGGGTCCTGAGGGGCTCAAGGTCCTTCCCAAGCTGTCCCATACCCATAGCAGGATTTAGGAGGTGCCTGGCCCCATCATGGCAGCCCCACAGAGTGCACAAGGGAGGAATACAACCGGGAAGCCCCTTCCTTCCCTTCTGTTGATCCCATCCACCACCATGTGAGGACCTGCACCCTGCCTGCACCCTGCCTGCCAGGCACTTCCACCCCAATTATCATCACTTCACTCCTAAGCTTTACCAATCTCCATAATCTGCTTTCCCAGGGCTCCAGCCACCACCCCATTTATAGCCCACTCTTACTCACAAAGCATCTCCCTGGTTAAGAAACTAATAGGATTGCAGCCCCAAAATACCTCTCCCATAGTGCACACATGGCACACCCCCGGCCAAAGCCTGGTGGGCGAGATTTGGGGTGGGAGCAGGTGGCTATAAGAGGCCACAGAGCTGGGAGCAGCCGTGGTGAGCAGGTGGCAGCAGGACAAGCAGGAGAGGAAGAAGAGAACGTGCATCCAACCCCAGGTGAGCGCTGCTGTGCTGAACGGGCAGGGATGTCAATGGCTGAGTGGTGGCTGCAAGGAGGGCAGCCTGCAGCTGGGTGGGTTTCAGTATGGGTGTAGGCATCCTTAGTGCAGGAGGACTTGGCCAAGCCAGGAATCCCAGTGCCCATTCTTGGAGTTCTGGCACACAAAGGAAGGCTTCAGCTCTTTTCTCCTTTCTGTCCTTTCATCCTCCCTTTCCCCATCACGCAAATCGTGCTCCTTCAGCACCTCAACCTGCTGTTCCCAAGGAATCTGTGGATTATGTCTGAGACCCACAGCCCACCCGAGGCCATTCCAGAGCCCGTGCTTGGGACTGACGCTTTGTTTCCCCATGGGGAAGAACATCATCATCTTCCCTCCATTCCCTCTCTATCGCCTTTTCCCTTCTCCCCACCATCACTGGTTACATAAAGGGGTGATTCTGCCCACGCGCTCCTGGGGCTTAAAATCTTGCCTGGCCTTAAGCCCAGCTAATGTCAGAGCTGCCTAAGTTTAAGAAGCAGAGCTCATCCCTCCTGATCTCCCCACAAATCAGCCAACAATCAGCGAGACATTTGCCGTTTAATTCTGGACGCTGATGTTGATCAAGCAAAAAGCAGCAGCCCCCGAGGGGAGCTCAGTCCTGTCCCACTGCTGGCCCTGAGGCTGTTGGTGAGTGCGGGATGGGGCTCTGAATGGCACTGGGCTCCCCTGCCCATGGTTTTTCTCACTGTCTTGTGAGTGAGCACAGTGAGTATGTTCCTCCTCCTTGCAGGTGATGGCAGCAAATTCCCAGCAGCTGCAGTCTCCAGCAGCTCCATCACTGGGGTGAACCCCCAACCCCATAAGGTCCTGAGAGAGCATGGCAGCTCTGGATGCAAATAGAGCATCTGAGCCCTGCTAAGCCTCCAGCCGTGCTGCTCACAGTGCCAACCCCCAGGAGGGCCATTGCCAAGGGTTCTGCACAGCATTGGCACACGAACCATTGAGTCCCCATTGCTGGTGATGGCCAATGGGGCTCCTGTTCCCATCTCCAGCATTTCCCCCATCTCTCCCTGCAGGTTCCTGGCTGTGTGGCACCTGACTTACAATGGCAGAAGGATCAAAGTAAGCCCGAATCCCAAGGCTGGGACATATCTGCCTGCCTGGGCACAGCTCCTGAGGATGCTCCTCTAGGGGGAGAGAGCAGCACTGCCCCCAGCCTCACCACTGTTCTGTGCTTTTCCTACAGGGTATTCAAGAAGACCAGTCCCAATGGGAAGGTGAGTCCATCAGGCACATGTGGGTCTGTCCCCAGTGCACATGAGCTGGTGGTGCCCAATGGTGAGGCTGCGAGGGCCTCAGTGTGGGGGACAGGGGATGCAGCCCAGGTTGCCATTCCCTCTGCAACCTCCTGATTCCCCTGTGCCTGCTATGGTGCCATCACTGGGGTCACTTTTCAAAACAAGTGTTTTAAGAAACACACGCAATTCCTGCGATGCGATGCCTGCTCCTTCACACCAAACACCTGCAGCATCACAAAGCTCAGCACCCACTGACCTGATGTGTTGTTTCCATTTGCCATGGGCTCCTCCAGCTGTCCATCTACCTGGGGAAGAGGGACTTTGTGGACCACGTGGAGTCGGTGGAAGCCGTGGGTGAGTGTGGTTCCCAGGGTGCAGGTGGCAGTGAGTGGCCTCGACCATTGCTCTGTGTGGAGAGAGGAGTGAGGGCAACTCCAGAGGAGCAAACACCTCATTTTCCTACAAATATCTTTAAAGCAGTACTTACAAAGCAAAATTCCTTTGCAAGTAAGCCCTGGGGGTGGAGATGTTGAAGGAAGGGTCACCATCCCCATGCAGGCAGGTCCCCTGGAGGCAGCTCTCCTGGCCTCCTCCTGTCTGAGCATTTTGACTGTAGAGCATTCTCACAAGGACCTTCCCTCTCTCCAGCACACCCAGTTCACCACCTCTTCTCTCCCGTTATTTGCAGATGGCGTCTGCCTCATCGACCCGGAGTACCTAAAGGACAGAAAAGGTATTAAGGCACAAAAACCCATGTTACGCAGGGCAGGGACACAACCCCTGTAGGTCGCCATGCCTTGAAGAGACCTGATGAATCTCATTAACTTTATGTTTGGCGCCTGAGATCTGCTTTCAATGCCAATAAGATACAAACACACCTTGTCTTTCTTTCCTCCTTTCCCAACCCTTCCCCTGCGCCTTTCCCTCCTCGCTCCCCTCCATTCTCACCCAGTCTATGTGACACTCACGTGCGCCTTTCGCTACGGCCGAGACGACCTGGATGTCATTGGACTGACCTTCAGGAAGGACCTCTACGTCCTGACCACTCAGATCTTCCCACCGGTGCCTGAGCAGGTGCCCAAAACCCTCACCTCTCTGCAGGAGAAGCTGCTGAAGAAGCTTGGTGAGAACGCCTACCCCTTCACCTTTGAGGTAAGGGTTGCTTGGTGCTTCCCAACCACGCATCTCAATGGGGATCATCCTTGGGCACGCTCTCTGTCTGCACTCTGTCTCTGTTCTGCCCAGATTGCCACCAACTTGCCCTGCTCAGTCACCCTCCAGCCGGGACCGGATGACGTGGGAAAGGTCAGATGCTGTCCCAGCCTGTCCCCAGGTTGTTTCTCTCTCATGGGGAAGAGGTTGGAAGGGACGGACAGCTGGAAGCAGGGCTGGGATCCGCAGGGATGTGGTGGGGGAAGGAGGGGAACAAATCTGAACCTCGTGCAGCTTAGAGCCTCTTTGTAACCCAACGTGTCCTCCCAGGCCTGTGGTGTGGACTTCGAGGTCAAAGGGTTTTGTGCTGAAAACCTGGAGGAGAAGATTCACAAGCGGTATGTATTGCCCTCAAATAGAGGGGAACCCTCATCCATTTCCACTGCCCTGAAACTGAACAACTGAGCCATTTGGGGGTGATCACCTCCGGAGCTGAGACAAGGCTGCAATGCCTGCTCGTGTCATGCTTGGGTTGGGGACTTTGCCTAAAGGAAGGGTGATGGTCCCTATGCCTGTGTCCACCCCATCCTCAGAGCAGCCTGTAGACTGCACTGTTTGAATGGAGGAATTGAGGTGCCCCCATAGACAAGCTATGCGTGCCTAGGGAGGCCAGGGGGTGACAGCTTCTCGCCCTGCAGGAACTCAGTGCGCCTCGTCATCCGCAAGATCCAGTTTGCACCTTTGAAGACAGGCCCAGGGCCCAAGTCAGAGACCACCCGGCAGTTCATGATGTCTGACAAGCCCCTGCACCTCGAGGCCACCCTGGAAAAGGAGGTCAGTGGGGGGCTGTTCCCAGCTCCTGCTACCATGTGTGTTCCCAGGGATGGGGACCGGGACTTCTTCGGCCCCAACCCCATTTGCTGGCCACGTAATTGAGCTTTTTCTGACTGCAGATCTACTACCACGGAGAACCCATCAACGTGACTGTCAATATCAACAACACCACCAACAAGATTGTGAAAAAAATTAAGATTGCAGGTGAGAGGAGTTGTCCCAGAACCCCCGTGTTGGGTTGGAGAGGGGGAATGTGGGCCTGGGTCTCTGCCGCCATGCCAACGCTGCTCCCTCCTGTGTGCCTCCAGTTGATCAGATCACAGATGTGGTTCTCTATTCACTGGACAAATACTCAAAGACTGTGTGCATGGAGGAGATCAAGTGAGTAAAAACGAGCTGGCAAACAGAGCTGGGGAGAGGAGGGAGGGGGAGAAAGAGAAGCTGGTGGCAACGATGGTTTTACACTGAGCAAGAACAAGGTTAGAAGTGCAGATGTGAGGAAGCGGAGGAGAGGGAAGGCTGCAGACACTGAGAGTCCAGCTCGAGCCTGGGGACGTCCCTGGGGAAAGGTGCACAGCTGCCCCCAGGCTGCTTCCTCTCCCCGTTTTGCATCTTGAGCCCAGCCGCAGTCAGACGAGGTCTCTGTGCTCCTGAAAAAGAGGAGTGACAGAGCAAAGATGGGAAGGCAGAAAAAAAGAAGTGGTCGTGGGAAGGAACAAAAGGAGGAAATGAGCCCAGGCAGCTGCAAGGGAGGGGAGGATGGGGCGGGACTGAAGTCAAACTGGCACGGTGCTGAGCACTGATCAGGGGGTGCTGGGTGCTGGCTCTGAGCTCTCCTCTCCTAACCCTTCTAGTGAGAATGTGGCAGCCAACTCCACCTTCTCCAAAACATACTCTGTCACCCCCACGCTCTCGACCAACCGGGAGAAGCGAGGCCTGGCTCTTGACGGCAAGCTCAAGCATGAGGACACCAACCTGGCCTCCACCACCATGTAAGAGCCTCTGCATCAGAGCAAATCTCAGCTCAGGCACCTCAAGTGGCCTCCAGAAGCTGTGGCCTCAGCCACTGATCACCCTTCCCTTCTCTCTGTCCGCCACGTTGCTTTGCAGTACAATCTAGTGCACCCCACACCAGTACAATTGCTCTGGGGGTCATGAGGTTGGCTGCATGTCACAGCTCTGCTCTGCCTCTCTCCTAGCCTGAGACCTGGCATGGACAAGGAGGTGCTGGGGATCCTGGTGTCCTATAAAGTGAAGGTCAACCTGGTGGTGTCCCGAGGAGGGTGAGCTCTGTGGGCACGGTGGCAAGGACACCTCTTGGGTCGTGCGTTGGGGTCTTGTACAACTGAGCTGGTGACAAGGGGATGGATGCAATGAGAAGGAGCTCATGCTGTGGGTTCCTTTCTCCCTGCCCATTTCCAAGGACTGTGGAGGCAGCTGAGGTCCACATCATCCTCTTTGTCTCCACCACTACTGCCCTTCACTTATTACAAAGCATTTTATTTCAAAGCTAAAAAACCAACACCCTTCTCTTCTTCCTTTGCTGCTTTCTTTCCTTTATCTCCATGGCCAAAGCATCCTGGGGGATCTCACATCCAGGTAAGGAGGGAGCTGCCCACAGCGCTCAGTGCCAGCGCAGTGCAGAGCCGGGGCCAGCATCGTGCAGCACTGGGTGGGTTCACTGAAGGAAGTGCTTCTGCTTCCAGTGATGTCGGTGTTGAGCTGCCCGTCATCCTGATGCACCCGAAGCCTGCGGATGGTGAGTAGCACTTGACATGCTGCCGAAACACCAGGGAAGAAAATGTAGTTCCTATTCAAGGGGGAACTGATAGGACTGATGGCTCTGGAAAGTCCCAACGGCTGGATGAAGTGCCCCAGAAAATGAGGCACATGTGACTCATCAGCCACGTGCTGCTCAGGATCAGACAGCGTGCTGGAGGAGCAGCTCTGCTCCCTGCTGCCACCCACACATGGCAGGCTGTCCAGAAGAGCACCTGAGCATTGAGATGCCTGTTGAATGTCATTTCTTTATTAACCATAAACATCTCTATTTCAATCCTTGCCTTCCCACGCTGTGCTTACAAATGGACTACACAGATAAACCAAGGTAAGTTTACTTACACCTCAGACTGCATTTCCTCCAACACGCAAATTGTGTAAACCCATCGCAGATATTCCATTTTGGGTAATGGAGGTGCTCTTAAATTAGAACATCCATGCCAGCAAGCCTTCTGCACGTGTCACAGCAGGCAGCACGGCATCCCCTACAGTGGCACAGGCAATAGGATGTAGGCCTATTCATGGCAGCCATTGCTACCAGCCGGCCCCACAGCTCTCACAGCTCCCAGACCCTGCTTCTGTGTCTGGTTCGTGCCCCAGTGCAGGGTGTTACATGGGGGTGTGGAGCCTGGAAACTCAGTCTGCAGCACTGCCTCAGCTCAGCAAGGACACAGAGGCTTACAGAGAAGAAAAGCTGTTGGTTTGCTCCCACCATCACAGCCCATAGATTTCCCCAGGTCGTTTCATATTCACACACTCCTGGAATTGTTTTTGCTGACTCTTCATTTCCATCTTTTCCTTTTCCTCTCCCTTGCTGTCATCCGCTTGCCTTTTGCAAGGAGGTAACGAATCCCTTTGTCACCACTGTAGCTCCCTTCCCCTCCTTTTTCCCCTTGACACTGTAAAACACTGCCTTGAATTAAACCCCCCAAAGTTGCTGGCCCTCCCCCGGCTCCCCAGCTCCAGTTTGGGCTGCACGCCCGCAGGGTGTCTGCAGGGGGAGCCGGATTTGGGGTGGGGTTCAATCGTTCCAACCTCACCGCGCTCCTTGCAGCGAGGAGGACATCGTCATCGAGGAGTTCGCTCGCCAGAAGCTCAAGGGAGAAAAAGACGATGAAGACGAGAAGGAGGAAGGCGAGAAGGAGGAGAGCTGAGCTGTCTGCAGACAGAGGCACGGGGGACCGTACCCCCACAGCACCCCGCAGCCCTGCCCGCCCTCAGCACCACGTGCCCCGTAGCTGCCCCGCTCTGCCCCGCTCTGCCCCCTAGCTGCCCCGCTGCCCCGGCGCTGCTATCGGGCTGTCCCACCGCCCACACTGAGCGCGGAGCTCCGGCGCTCGCACGGCCCAGCAGCGGCCCCGAGCGCCGTGTCGCCTGTCACCGGCCTGAATGACGCGATGTTTTCGGCGTGTTTATAAATAAACCGACGCGAAACAAGAAACAGAGTCGTTTTGTAGGAGCGCTACAACGGGGGTGGGCTCGAGGCCGCCGCCCACCGCCAGGTGGCGCTGTGCCGTGTCGGTGACGCCATCGCGGCGGCGGCGGAAGTGACGCCATCGCGGCGGCGGAAGTGACGCGCGGCGCGGCGGGCGGGGCGGCGGTGCCGGTGTGTGCTCGGTGGCCTCTTCTTCTCCTCAGTCACGGCTCCGGCTCGGCCTCTCCGCGCCGCCATGTCCGCCCCAGGCAGCGGCGGCGAGTTCGGCAACCCGCTGCGGAAGTTCAAGCTCGTCTTCCTGGGCGAGCAGAGCGGTGAGCGGGGCGGGGATTGGGCCTGGTGCTGAGGTGCCGTTAGGCGGGGCGGGGCCGGCGGGGCGGCGGCCGGAGCGGGAGGGGGGGGGGGAGAACCGGGGGTGGCGGGGCGGGTCGGGCCAGGCCCGGCCGGGGGGTCGGTGGGCTCGGCGGGCTCGGCATCGCCTCACCGCCCGCGGCTGCGCTGCGACTGCCGTCGGTCTCCTTTCAGCCGGACGCCGGCTCTGTTTCGTGCCCCTGCCCTCACGGTGCGTGGATGACTTGCGTTATTTTCTTGAAATCGGGGTACTTCGTCTGTGTCGCTCTCCCGTATTTATCGTCTCCTCGACCGCAGGACTGCGTCTTGCAGGAATTTCCAGAAGTTTTCAGGTTGAGCTGCCTCAGCGAGGCGGGATCCATGTTGCTGCTGACAGGTGCTTGCCCTCCTGTTGCTGGCGCTCACCATTTCGCTGCTTTCTGCAGCTGCTTATTCCTTTTCTTTCCTCCCTTTTGTCTGTGTTTTTTGCAGCTTCCCAAGAGAATCAGGGATCTTTGGTTCCCGTTCTCATCAGTTCTTGCACTATTTCTCTTGGTGACATTTGGATATGTGCGTTTTTTAAGCAAGCTATCAAAGTTCACAGGATCACAGAATGGCCGCGGTTGGAAGGGACGTCAAGAATCACAAAGCCCCAAGCCCTGCCACATGCAGGGCCACCAACCTCCACATTTCACAGCAGCCCGGGCTGCCCAGGGCCCCATCCAACCTGGCCTTGAACACCTCCAGGGATGGACGGGGCATCACAGCCTCTCTGGGCAGCTGTTCCAGCACCTCACCACTCTCCTAGTACAGAACTTCCCTTGACATCCAACCTAAGTCTTCCCTCCTTCAACTTAAAACCATTTCCCTTGCCCTGCTGTTATCTACCCTTTCCAAGAGTTTACCTTATATCTAAATATCATTTATGGACAAATGATCTCAGTATTAAACGCTGCTTTTCTGTAGAGCTGGTGGCAGCTAATTAACGTCCAAGGCAACACCGTGTCAGCTTTTGATGCTTGCATCTGGGAGTCCCAGACTTGGTGATTACATAAGTGCCCAAATATGAATAACAAAGCAGATTTACTGCTTGCTCAAAGCAAACAGGCAGCTCTATGCTGTTCTCATCATAACATATCTAAATTGAGGGTCAGGTTTCCATAGTGATTAGGTTTTTTCTTAGATTCCTTTGACTTAGTGCTCACCTATTATCTCATGAATGAATTTCTCAGCTGTTTATTTCCCAGGTGGGAGTAGCTGGGAAGTAGCCTTATGTTGGCAACGTCATTCTGGCGGTCAGTGGTACCAGTGTGTGAATCCTGACCAGCAGGTTCTTCCACTGCTCTTTGAAAGTAATTTTGCCTCTTCTTTTATAGTTGGGAAGACCTCTCTGATCACCAGGTTTATGTATGACAGTTTCGACAATACTTACCAGGTATGTGGTAGACACTCCTCTGTGAACACATCTGTTTTCCACTACTAAAATGCATTCCTCTTGTGCACGTCTCCACGAGGTGTCAATTGAGTATCATACACGAGACTGTAGTGTGAGTTGAAACGTAGATCAGACTGGCTTTCAGTCCCAGTGTGCTATCAGGGTGTGCAGTGAGCAGGAGAGCCGTGAGGTTTAGATCCTGTTTGGGTGTTGGAGAACTTGGAGGAAAGCAAAGAGAAACGTTGGTTTATGGGATCAGTGAACAAAAAAGACAATGGTGAGGATGAGTGAAGGTCAGCATGGAGCATCAGGAAATGGGGAATAAGGTACACGTGTGCTTCTGATAGTTCTTGGTCTCTGCTCTCTTTATAGACGTCCTGTTAAAATAGTACTTGAGTCCAGACTACGTGGACGGACCCCCAAGAAGTCTACATGGTGTATTTTCTCTCTGAGTCTTTCCCTTCTTAATTTTTAAATGTATGTCTTGTTTTTTAGCTGAAAGGGTATAGATAGAAAAAGTCAGGGAAATTTTGGCAAGGAGAGAGCAGGGTAGGGATGGAGAGACTTCAGACTGAGAAGCTCAGCATGTGTAGGAGGCGCAGAGATCTCGGGAAGAGTCAGCTGAAACAAAATGGCTTAGTGGTATTTCAAAGGAGTACTGAATGTCTTTGAGGAAGATGAGACTGTGGTGGCCTCTTTTAATGCAGGCCAGGAAGAGTTATTGGTTTCAGTTGGAGTAATTTCAAGCTGGAAGGTAACAGAGAAGGTGGTTTTCTGGAGGACGAGTCATTTACTGAAACCAGATCCACTTGTGCTTTGTGTGCTTTTATTCCTAACCCTTGTTAGGTGCTCTGGAGGGTTTATCTTGTTGTGAGCTGTCTTGGCTGCAGAAAACAGGGCTCCTAGAGAAGAGCTACTGACTGCAGAAATTGGCAGCTGTGGTTTGATATCAGCTGGTTCATGTTCTAATGGATGCTTCCAGAACACGTGGTGCTGCCTGTGTTTGAGTCTGGAGATTGTACTAAAATCTGTTCAGTAATCAGTCACTTGTTTCCTGGGGTTGTGATGGGCTGGGATGCCTGCTTGATTTAAATGCCTGCAAACATTTAACACCTCTAACTTCATAAGTTACTTTGGGTGTTTCTGTAGTGGAATGTCTGTGCAGCAATGGAAATGTGAATGGAGGGAGGTAGATGGAAAGAACTGCTTGGGAAGTGCAGCTTCTGGTTGTCCTTGAAAAGGAAGAGCATTCTCTGTTGTTGGATAGCCCTGAATCAACGTTACTTTTTAGGTTTCAGCACAGTTGCTCACAATTTATTTGTTCTACCTTCTGGTTATTTCTAATAAGAGAAATGTTACCAGAACAAATTGCTGTAAAGCAGAGGGAGATGACAGGACAGATACGATCTGCGCTGAGATGCACGAATGTCAAGGAGGTAAAATTAGAATTTGGAGGATCTTGGGAGTTGAGAAGTGTTGGAAGAATAGTGTGAAATAGAGATGGTGGAGATACCTAGATTGCTTTGTTTTTATCAACTCTTTTGAGGGCAAACGACTTCAACAGCTAAATTACAAGTTAGCGAACGTTCTTTAGAGATTGTGTAGAAAGATCTGATCTGCAGATCCTGGGAGGCAGTTCCTAACGCTTTTCTTCTTTCCAGGCAACCATTGGAATTGATTTCCTGTCAAAAACAATGTATCTCGAGGATCGCACGGTAAGTGAGGCGTCCGGGTGACGGTGTGGCAGCAGCAGCTGCTGTGGTGCTGTTTGCTGGCCAGGCCTGCAGCGCCTGCTGGAATCCCGCAGCACCTTCAGAGGGACGGCCTTTGTTGAGTCACTGACCCACGGCCCTGCTGGTACCCACTGGTGTGTAAGGCCTCCAGCACTGAGCCTGGTCCTTCCGAGCAGAACTGGGCCGAGCCCATGTCCCAGCCGTGGGGGAGCGGCTGGCTGCTCTGCTTGAGAGGCGCGCTTTGCTCCCAGGGTTTGCAGTGCTGTCTGTAGGGGTTGTCAGTGTGACTGGATGTGGACAGACCCCAGGAAGCAATTCCAAGTTTTGAAGTCATTCAGATTAACAATAGTGGCACGGTTCCTCTTTGCAGAACGGTTCTATTTGTAGCACAATGCTGACTTTCTGTTAATAGAGCGTTTTTGAACTTAGCTTGCATGAGACTCCATTTTGCAGAAGGAGTTCCCTCGTATCTCTCTCCTGTCTTTCAGCATCTGCCCATTTGTTCCTGTTTTGCTAGCAGTTGCCTTTTTGCTCATTTTATTACTGGCCAAGAAGCTGCTGGCAGGAGGGAGGGGTCAGCTCTGCAGTGGAAGCCTTTTGCACTGTTTTGGGTCTGTTGCTTTTGAAGAAATCTCATCCCTGTGTGTGGCGAGATTCTCCTGAGTGCTTCTCTGCCATCTTACCAGCGACTGATTGTTAGAAGAGACCTTACTGAATCTTTGGGAGAGCTGCTTGGAGAATGTTCTTGTGTTGTTAGCAGATCTTGAGAATGCAGCCTGACACCTGTGAAGTCAAAGTGGAATGCCTGTGTCTTGTTTGCAGCAGTCTGTAGGTCTCAAGCGTAGTCCTGGTTCCCTATGGCTGTGTAGGTCACGGTGCCGTGCACCTCCTGGCCTGCTAGCCAGAAAAATGGCTGGTATACTGTTAGCTTTCTTAATTATTTATCCTGTTAAAATAATGAGAGGTGCGGAGTGAAAGTCAGGAGGGAGAAATACTAGCACACCAAGCTAGACAATGGAATGGTTTCTCAGATATGGCTAGTCCTATATTTTGCTATAGGCTTTGTCTGCTGTACTTGAAATGAAGAATGTGAAGCCTCCAACTGCAGCTTATGCTTTGACATCTATGTCTTTATGCCAAATAATGTCCTGTATGTAGTGGATTGTACCCACTGCTG